CACTAGTACAAAAGAGGTATTTCACGTCGGTTATTTTGAGCTTTTTATATCGAAAAAAATACCGATGTTAATACAGGAGACGTAAATCTACGTCGGCCTTATAAAACCAACGTAAATTTACGTCGGACGTTACCAAGATCCGACATAAAAAAATAGTAAAAAAATATTAAAAAAAACATAATGAGTGCAAGCAGAACAGTCCGTTCTGCTTGCAATACGGCTCGTTCTCCAAGCAGAACGGCCCGTTCTTCATTCAAAACGGCCCGTTCTACAAGGAGAACAAACCGTTTTGAATGGAGAACGAACCGTTCTGCTTGGAGAACGGACCGTTCTGCTTCGTAACACAACTCAAAAGAAAAGGCCAACGACCCACAAATAGAACAACCAAAAAATCGAATAGAACAGATAGCCACAATAACAATGCGAAGCAAAAAGGTGTTAACAAAACCTTGATTCATACCTAATGAGCTGCAATAGTGTGCGAATGAGTAACAAAGAGTTCACCCCACTCTGCAAAAGACAAAAAAACGATTCAGTAACAAAGGAGAGGAAGAGGGTTTACAGATAAAAAAACGAAAAGTGTTGAAGAGTGAATGCGCGCGGTGTGCCTCGCGCTCTTTTATTCAATTTCGCGAACTTTTTTACGTCGGACCTGGTAGGGTCCGACGTAAAATGTCAAATCTACGTCGGACACAACATACATCCGACGTAGATTTGACATTTTACGTCAGACCTCGTAGAAAAGTTCGCAAAAATTACAAAAATGTCACCGTATTTTTTTTATGTCAGATTTTAGAATGTCCGACGTTAAAGAGGTGACGTAATATACTAACTTTTCACTAGTGGATATTTTGAACACGTGGGACACCAAGAAACACCTACCTATATCACAAAAGTTGGAGTATTTAATAATTTAAATAATGTAAAGAATAGAAAAATAGGAGAGATAATATTATTCACATGTTCCAATGGCGTATTTGTCTTCTGGTAGTTATGCTTTAAAAAAAATTCCAAAAGAAAAATACACCTAATAATTTTTTACATATATTTTTGAGTTGAGAAGCAGAGCTTACAATATGTATCCTGTGTCAAGTTCCATTCTATTTACAGATATCTGTGAATAATTGAATATACCTAACGAGTAACAAGTAATGTAATTAACCAGCTCCATTTTATTATTAAATTCGCATAATCTCCTACATTTTCCCACCTCGCAGTAATGTACATATAGTAATCAACATCCTCAACCGAAATTGGAATCATGAATAATTCCTTGAAGAGATTACAATAGAAGACGAAAAATGAGATAGAAAAAGAAGAAAGAATTATCTTTTACAAGCTCCACAAGAAGAAGTAAACGATGCAACTAAAAGGATGATAATCATAAATACCCAGAAGGACGACAGTAACGTTGAATTGAGTTGTGTCTGACTATGATACTTCTGAATAAAGCTTATAGTAACGTCGAAGAGACGAAGACACAAAGAACTAAGACGAAGAAGCATTCCCTGAAGAGTGATTATTGTTATTATTCTTCCTACAATACTGGACGCTACTCTCGTCCATCTTCTCCAGCACGTAGTGTCCCAAAGAGTGAGTTCCCGCCACCAAATTTTCCTTACAAAGAAACTCATTCCCACAAACCTTTTCCACCTTCCCCGTGAAGTCATGCACAAAAACATGCGTCTTAGGGTTCCCACCCTTCTTGCTCCGGGCAAGCACGCCGGCGGTGAAGATCGCCGACATTCTTCCGGGAGCCTCCGGCCAGTCACCTCTAGGTCCATCCACCAATATCACATCCCAATCAACCTCATAAACATGGTTTGGAAGATCATTCAACCCTAACTTGCACTCGGAGAACAAAAGATTCTGCACTGGCTTACACTCATTTTTCACTTGTTCCTTAGCCGAAGCTATGAGCTCCTTCATCTCGCTCCTTTTTGTCGTGTACTGAACGTCGTAAGCGTCTATTTCGGGGTGCTTCTCTTCGAAGTACGCGGCGTAGTAGCGGTTTTCGTCGATGAAGATGGTTCTTCCGTTGTGGTTGAGGGCTTTCCAGAGAAGGGTCTCGTGTGTGAGGCCGAAGACGAGGAAGTTGCATGGGGAGGAGCACTTTCGGAGCACGTCGGAGATTGTTTTGATGTCGGAGTGGGGCATGTGGTAGGTGTCGTTGGATTTTGCGGCGTAGTGGATGAGGGTGTTGATCACTGTGGAGGGTAATGGGGTGTTGGTGGATAAAGAGGTGGTGTGCATGGTGGTTGGTGAGGTTGAGTTTGAGTTTGAGTCTCTTGTGTAAATGAGGGTGGCAAGGAAGGCTAAGGTGAAGAAGGATATGAATGCTAGAAGCCATAAACGGTTGGAGCTTCCTTGTTTTTGGATATACGGGTGAAGGAGGATGAGTTTTGTGTTGCTGTTATTGTTCTTCATGTTGTCTCTTTCTTTCGGTGGAGCTGCAGATTGTGAGCTCTGGGAGAGAATTGGGAGAGAAGGTTTGGTTTAAATTGTGAAGGGAAAAAATTATTGAGGGTGACCTTGCAATGACCTTTCAGGTTCCACAAGTGAAAATAATGTTAATGAGAGGGAATTGATGAAGTGGTTGTTTTTGTTACGGTGAATTTGGTTTTGCTTGTTTGTATCCATCGTAATGTGGTTGGTATTTTGCATTAAATAAAGAATTCCTGATATATGTGTTGTTTTGTTTATGAAGGATGGCTTATGCTGAACCAAACTAGGATGAGGAATAAGAGTGCTGGGGTGGTTGAAGAGAAGGTGTTGCAATCCAATATCTAATTACAAACCAGAAGTCGCTTTTCCTTCTTCATTTAAGCTTTGGTTTCTAAGTAACCCCTTTAGAATATTTGCAACTTATTGAACAAGTAGCTAGCTACCTCTGAAGGGGACTAAGTACCTGCTGCTACGTTGCCTCTCCTTGAAATGAGAAATTTCTGATCATAGGTAGTCCTCCACTACATATAATTAAGTTTAGGATTTAGGGTCTTATAAATTAAAAATCTTTAAAAAAAATCATTTTAACATTTGAAAAGCATTTTAAAATGAATAATATTTTTACTTTTCTTTATAATATTAATTATTATTTTTTATTATCTTTCATAAATTATGATCAACTACCACAATCAAAGATAATATATATATATTTATTTGACAGAATAAATTATTTTAGTAAAATTTTATAAAAAAAAGTTATATATTTATTATTGTTATTAATCTATGTAAAATCTTTAAAGTGCGGTTACAGAGGAATTACATGTCATGTACAGAAGACATGGTTTGTACAATGTAATAATTTCTCCCTTGAAATACTTGTGCTGTGTGTATCGTTTTCTGTACTTGGCTATTCGACGATTTCAAAGTAAAAAAGCACTGTAATTTGGATTGGGATGAACTACTACTTTCCAGCCAGGCAGAGGATAAATTGATGGAAGTGAGAATCCAAAGAAAAGAAAAGAAAAAAACGTGTACTTCTTTCTTGGAGTATTCAACTTAGCAACTACATCTGAGTTCTGAGAGCGCAAGAAAACAATAAAATGTAAATATAAAAGGAATGAATGGTCAAAAAAGACTAATGTTGGAGACACGACTTTCTTTAAAAAGAAATGGGCTAATGGCTATGCATACTTTTATGATTGATACAGATAGAGGACAGTGTTCCTGTTTCATGAAATAGATTTTAGAATCGAGTTCTATCCCAATTTAAATGTTTTATCGTGTAAATAATTTAAATATTCCATTTTTCCTGTTGCGCTTAATTTGGGTTTGCAAATTTCTGGGCCACAAAAGGGGTGTGAGTTGTTTCTAAGAGAAATTGTAGGCCTTGAAAATTTAAAGAATTTTGAAACTGTCTTTATTTTTTTAATATATATATATTATATAAAATATTTTGGATTTATTAAAGATATTTTTTTATATACTATGAGTCGTGATAAATTGAGGATTTTATTATTTGTATGTAAATTTTGAGAAATAAATTGAATAAAAGATTTACAATTTTTTCTCTACTTAAGCAAATAAAATTTTATTATGTTTTTTTTAAGTTATTTTTATTTTTATAAAATGATTCAAAATACTTGAACTAATATTTTAAAAAATTAATCAATTAATTAGTTATTTAAATTATCTGTTTGTCAATAACACATCATTTAATGTAGAGAAAAAAAAGTGAAAGTGAAAAGAAAAAAAAATTATAATGTAAATCATTTTTATTAGTTTTAAAAATTAACCGCACTAAAATATCTTAATTTAAAAGGATAGTAACTTGCTGTTTCTAAATGTTGAAAACAATGGGGCTCAGCAGG